AGCTTTTATTAGGAAATAAACAAGGGCATATACGTCATTTACATACACTTAACTGGTATTTGGATGGAAAGTCACTCATTGGTCATTAAATCAATAATTTGGGTACCCTGAGAGTATATTTCAAAAAAAAGTAGGACCTGGTAGTCTTTACAACAAAACCTGGGGTACCTGCCAGCAGTTTTTTGTAAAGTTATTTGTATCCCAAACTTTTGTACAACGTTTGTACACTGCAGGTTTTGTGTTGGTGTAAAACTAATTTTTGTTAACGCACCAACACTTTGTGTCCGTGTAATTTTTTGTTAACGCACCAATACTTTTGTTGGTGTAAACCATCAAAATATTTGTGTATGAATGCGGTGTACAAATGGTGTACAATTTTTGGTGTAAGTGTAGCATGACCCAAATTTGTATCTCATTTGTACACCTAAGGTGTGCACCAACATTTTGATGCTTCACACTGACACATAGTGCTGGTGCGTTAACAAAAATTTACACTGACACAAAGTGTTTGTGCGTTAACAAAAATTAGTATTAGACCAACACAAAATATTGAGGACAAGCAACGTTTAAGTGTGAGGAGATTGATAAGTCCGTTTCGTACTTATCTTTTTACTCATATTTAATACGTTCTTGTATCATTTTAATTATCAAATTACTCAATTCTTTATTCTTTTTCATCAAAATATTTTGTTTTGATAATTTGATCGTAAAAAGAATAGTTTTGAATTAACATGCAAAAATGGTCAAGAAAAGAATAAAAAGAGTTAATTTTTAATAGAAAAATATTTCTATCTTACAAACAGTGCAAAATTAAAAGTTAGTGCAGAAGGAAAAAATGGAGGTTTTTCATAAGGTAGCCTAGACGGTTGGTAACGGCACAGTAGGCGGCCTAGCAGGCAGCCGCCTGCCTGGCCTCCCGTCGGAGTGGCGGCGGCGGTCAAAAGAGGCAAGCAGCGGCTGTTGGCTGGCAAAGGAAGGGCCAGCGGGCTTGCAGGCGAGCGCTTGCCTGCCCGCTTGTCAACGGTGAGGGCGAATCGGCGAGAATTCTCTGGAAAATCCGGCAGTGGCGGCCGGCGGGCGGGCTGGCGGCCGGCAGTCTGCCTGCCTGGTGCTCGGCTCCCTCCTATAAAATCTGGCGATCTACAAGCTTTTCCCAACCAATTCCTCTTCGGTTTTTCCCCTTTTAGGTACGAAAATTCTCTCTTTTCTTCCCTAAATATTGTTCTAAAATTGTGTTTGTTAAATTTCACTATCCAAAGTTAATTTTAAAGTTCTCGGAACAGTGTAAGTTTTTCTTCTTGAATTGTTGTTGAACTTTTAATGAATTAAATAATATTTTGTTTACTTTAAAATTTATTGATGTTTAATTTGTCTTTGAGAATTTTATATATATGTTGATATAATGATATTGAAGATTTCATTTAAGAAAATGAATTGGTAATTTTACATGGATTAAGATTCGGAATAAAGATTTAACCAAATTAATTTCATCTATTTATTAGTAATTAGATTAATTGTTAGAAAATGAATTAAAATTTATTAATTAATACAATTATTTATATTATTAATTAATCATTGAAAATTAATCTTTTATTTAGAAATAACTTCTTGAAATGATTTAAACTAATTAATAATAGTAAACATTTTATTAATTAAGTAATTGTAAAATTGTTCTTGTCTTGTCTATGAGATTTAGAATGATTTAAGTCGAGCTTTTTCTAGCACAGTACCGAGACCTAGAAATAGGAGATCTATTGGAAATATAATAATCTTATACTTTAAATATAATATTAGCATTTATGTTTATATTGAGACCTAGAAATAGGAGATATATTAAAAGAGGGTGACATTGTTTAACACCATAATCTGTCCAGGTCAGCAGCCCTTTTCAGACTAAAATATTATTTTGGTATCTGTGAACATTCAAAATATTTCAGACATTTTAAAACTTTATTTCAAAATAATTCATTGAAGATAATAACAGAGTATCTCAATGTTGCGGAAGTTGAATAAATAGCAATTACAAAACATAGTAATTTTGTGTCTTTGTAAACATCAATTCATTTTCACACATCCACCTTGACTATCTCGTCCCGTCTCCCACCAACACTTCATTCATTTTGTTTATCTGCGTGTAGCAAATAAAAACATACTACACGGTCAGCGTTGAAGCTGAGTAAGCATATCTAATGCGTCGAACATCCATATAAATTGAATTTCAATTCATAATCAACCATTTGATATCATGCACACAATATACAATTCAAGCATTCATCATTCACGATATTCACAATATTTTATTTCAAGTCATTCTATG